AGGGGCCGGTGGCCGACATGCCACAACATCCAGGACCTTCTTAAGAAAATGTTCTTTGGAACAGGTGACACATTCTCTCTCTCTTATTTTTTTTTTCTGCGAAACCTTCCACTAGCAATTCTGCTTATGATAGAAGAGGTTTATGCGTGTCATGTGTGAGACTGCCTCCTTCCCCTCCTCCCACCAGCTTCTACCTCTGGGAATATATTACGGATGGTAGAACCGCCGTAGTTTTATTCTTTTGCTCTGCCCGGGGTCTACAAACCCATTCATTTCCTTGACCTCCACCGTTCCTGCTCTCACCCAGGAAAATGAGACAATAATGAACACAAATACAAAACATCAACTCCCTTCTTGAGGTGCACTAACAGGATAGCTTTATTATTATTATTATTATTCCAGCAGTACAAGGTGAAAAGCTGTTGCGATGAAACTAGCAACAGCCATTCAACAAATATACCATTAAAAACATCCATCAGCTTCCAGATCAAGAGGGAATGGAATAATATGCAGGAAGGCAGAGAGACATTCATCCATTTTCTCAGGCATCTCTTGATGAGAATCCGGAACAAGACAGATGGGTGTCATGATGGGGAGTCCACACATTCACATACTCATATGTCTCCCTTCATACCCAAAACTAATTTACAGAATTTACACAGTTGCTCTGTTTTTTTTTCTCCCTGGGGACAGTTCTGGGAAGTAGGCTCGAGAATCTTCTGAAATTCTTCAGTTGCCAGAGATTGCATGAGACATGATATTGATGAAGTCATGACCTTGCACCAGAATTTGTCTGATTCCCCCTCCACCCCCCAAAAATGGGGTGATTTAAGAAAAAAAAGTGTACAAAGAGGGGAATAGGATCCTCTTCTGACAGTTTCTTGGGAAAACAGATTTAATGTTATGATGGCCATTCCTTGAGTACATCTGGTATCCGCATCTTTAATGAGGACTCAACTTTGTTTTATAGGGTAGGGTAAGGTAGAGTAGAGTAGAGTAGAATAGAATAGATTGGAATGAAAGAATAAAACAGAACAGAATAGAACGGAATAGAATTATAAAGCAGGAAAGGACCACAGAGGGCTTCTAATCCCACCTTCTGATCATGGCAGGAGACCTCATATCATCCTGGACAAATGGTTGTCCAATCTTTTCTTGAAAACCTCCAATGTTGGAGCTCCCACAGCCTCTGGAGGCAAGTCATCCCACTCTTTTAATTGTTCTCACTGTCAGGAAATTTCTCCTTAGTTGCAGATTGGATCTCTCTTTAACGAGCTTCCATCCATTGCTTTCTTGTCCTATCCTCAGGAGCTGTGTAGAGTAGGTCAACCCCGTCCTTCTTTGTGGCAGCCTCTCATATATAAAAGGACAGCTATCGCATGACCCCTGGTTCTCCTCTTTGTTAGGAAGAATCAGTCATTCTGTGTTGCTGATGTTAATTTTATTGCAAGCTGCTCAACAGCCTATACGTAGGCTGTAACCAACCAACCAAACAAACAAACAAACAAATATTGACTATGCTAATAAAGAACAGAACAGAATAACAGAGTGGGAAGGGACCTTGGAGGTCTTCTAGTCCAACTCCCTGCTCAGGCAGGAAACCCTACACCATTTCAGACAAACAGTTGTCCAATCTCTTCTTAAAAACCCCCAACGTTGAAGCACTCACAACGTCTGGAGGCAAGTCGTTCTACTGATTAATTGTCCTCACTGTCAGGAAGTTTCTCCTTAAATTCTAGGTTGCTTCTTTCCTTGATTAGTTTCCATCCATTGCTTCTTGTCCTGCGTTCGGGTGCTTTGGAGAATGGGTTGACCCCTTCTTATTTGTGGCAGCCCCCCAAATACTGGAAGTCTACTACCAAGTCACCCCTAGTCCTTCCCTTCTGAACTTTTACAGAATACAGAACAACAGAGTTAGAAGGACTTTGAAGGTCTTCTAGTCCAACCCTCTGCTCAGGCAGGAATCCCTACACCATTCCAGACAATTGGTTGTCCAGTCTCTTCTTAAAAATCTCCAATGTTGAAGCACCCACAACGTCTGGAGGCAAGTCGTTCTACTGATTAATTGTTCTCACTGTCAGGAAGTTTCTCCTTAAGTTCTAGAATCAAGTTCTTTCCTTGATTAGTTTCCATCCATTGCTTCTTGTCCAAAGTGTTCAGGTGCTTTGGAGAATGGGTTGACCCCCTCTTCTTTGTGGCAGCCCCTCAAATATTGGAACACTGCTATCAAGATAGTCTTTCTTTTCATTAAAAAGAATCTTGGCCAACCCATCATATTGCATATCCCTTTCTCAGCAATTGGACCAGAATTTGAATGCTTCTTCTCAGGGTGATATGCATGGAATAGTCAAAACAAATCCCAGTTTAGGAAAACTAGGGAGTTGGTCATTGAGACAAGCCTTTATCGGGAGTTTACTAACTATTTTTAGAACGTATGCAAATGTGTATTGTGCCGTACTAATCTTTTGCTAATGCATCTTCTCCCTCCAGGCAAAGTACATGCAGTGTTTGACTAATCGGATGGTATGTTTCCTCAGTCTGACTCTTACCTAATTGTAGCTAATGAGAAGAATTCAGCAGATTCAGGTCGTTGTGCCAGCGAGCAATTTAAATAGAATCGTGCCCGAGGCGGCGTGGGGAAAAAAAATATAATGAATTAAATAATGCAAGATCATTAACCGATTGAGTTTGTCAAAAGGTGTTATTCGGCGGTCCCAGCTGCCTGCGTTACAAACTCTCTTGGTGAACTTATTCTTACCCCGACCTTCTCAACCGGCTGACCTTTCGGTGCTCTAATCAAGAAAATTCATAATCATTTGAGCTGAGTTAATTATGAATAACTCTTCCAGGAGCGCCGATTGTAGAGATAACCGAATGAGAATGGCATTGGGCACAGAGACAATGGTCTTCTCTGAAAGTGGTCCGGTCTGGATATGTTTGATGGGGTTGGCTCCAGGTTTGTAGAAAATGTTCTCTGTCTTCCTAGATTAAGGCCACACTTGGAATCCTGCATCCAGTTTTGGTCGCCATGATGTAAAAAAGATGTGGAGACTCTAGAAAGAGTGCAGAGAATAGCAACAAAGGTGATTAGGGGACTGGAGGCTAAAACATATGAAGAACAGTTGCAGGAACTGGGTATATCTAGTTTAATGAAAAGAAGGACTGGGGAGACATGATAGCAGTCTTCCAATATCTCAGGGGTTGCCCCAAAGAAGAGGGAGTCAAGCTATTCTCCAAAGCACCTGAAGGCAGGACAAGAAGCAATGGGTGGAAACTCATCAATAAATAGATAGATAGATAGGTAGGTAGGAGATAGATAGATAGATAGATAGATAGATAGATAGGAAATAGATAGGTAGGTAGGTAGGTAGGTAGGTAAGTAGATAGATAGATAGATAGATAGATAGATAGATAGATAGATAGGAAATAGATAGATAGATAGATAGATAGATAGATAGATAGATAGATAGATAGGAAATAGATAGGTAGGTAGGTAGGTAGTAGGTAGATAGATAGGAGATAGATAGATAGAAGATAGATAGATAGATAGATAGATAGATAGATAGATAGATAGATAGATAGATAAGAGATTATCTATCTGATAGATAGATAGATGATAGGAAATAGATGATAGATAGATAGATAGATAGATAGATAGATAGATAGATAGATAGATAGATAGATAAGATAGATGATGGATAGATAGATAGATAGATGATGGTTAGATAGATAGATAGATAGATGATGGATGGATGGATAGATAGAAGATAGATGGATAGATAGATAGATAGATATTTTTAAAAAGCAAATGTGATTAGGATTAGATATAAAGGAATATAGGAGGACAGGTCAAAAACTAAATTTAGTTTTTATATAATTGGCTATAATTAAATCTTACTAAAATCGTAATGAAATGAACCCGAGTAAATCTTAAAAATCAATTTGTTTAATGCAGCTAATGTGATTTCTCTCTGTTCATTTTCTCCGTCTGCCAGATTCTGGAGAGGCAAATTATTTCTCAAATTCTTGCCTGGGATCAGATGAAGATGGGGTCAAGCATGTCATTCGTTGTTATTTGATTTAACTTGCAAAAGATTAAGGGGGTCGCTGCAATGGGGCCCATCTCATTTTGCAACGCTCCTCGGATTTTTAATTTTTTTTCCCCGTTGTACTTAGTCAACTGGTTCTAATTTCAACAGTTGTTATAAGCCATCCACAGACTTTTTCAAGGGTTGGAGAGGTACCGGTAGTCCTCGACTTACAAAAGTTCATTTACTGACCATTCAAGGTTACAAGGGCACTGAAAAAAGGGAATTATGGCCATTTTTCACACTTATGATCATTGCAGCATCCCCGTGATCAAAATTCAGAGGCTTGGCAACTGACTAGTATTTATGTCTGTTGCTGTGTCCCTGGGTCATGTGATCCAGTGGTGAAATTCAAATTTTTGTACTACCGGTTCTGTGGGCGTGGCTTGGTGGGCGTGGTGTGGCTTGGTGGGCGTGGCTTGGTAGGCATGGCAGGGAAAGGATACTGCAAAATCCCCATTCCCTCCCCACTCCTGGGGGAAGGATATTGGAAAATCTCCATTCCCACCCCACTCTGAGGTCAGCCAGAGGTGACATCTCCGAACTACTCATAATTTCCGCTACCGGTTCTCCAGAACCTGTCAGAACCTGCTGAGTTTCACCCCGATGTGATCTCCTTTTGCAACCTTCTAACAAGCAAAGTCAACGAGGAAGCAAGATTCACTTAGCAACCGTGTTACTAACTAACAATTCACTTAACAACTGTGTCAAGAAAGGTCGTAAAACGGAAAACTCACTTAACTTGCTTAGCGCCATAAATTTTGGGCTCCATTGTGATCGTAACTCAAGGACTACCTGTCCTTCATATGTGTTTGCACGCTCAATGTTTAAAGACAAAGGCAATTGATTCAGAGGATGAATCGTGTTAATTTTAAGTTTTAACCAATGCCACCTCCTGTTATTTCTCTGCAGGAACTCAACGTATTGCATGAAAGTATCCATGTCCTTGACGGTTGCCGAAAATGAACTTGGACTTTGTTACAACAGCACAATTCGTTACTTAGAAAAATCAGAAATCACCAGGACCAAAGTCATTTCCTGCCCGGATACCGAGGATTACAAAACGGGCAAGCAAGAACCGGATATAATCTGGTATAAGGTGAGACTGTTACAAACAAACAATCAATCAATCAATCAAACAAACAAACAAACAAACAAACACATAGATGGGTAGGTAGGTAGGTAAGTAGGTAGGTAGATAGGTAGATAGGTAGATAGGTAGATAGGTAGATAGGTAGATAGGTAGATAGGTAGATAAGTAGATGGATGGATGGATGGATGGATGGATGGATGGATGGATGGATGGATGGATGGAGGATGGATGGACGGGTGGGTGTGGTGGGTGGGTAGATGGATGGACGGACGGACAAATGGACGGACAGACGGCGGACGGATGGATGGGTGAGTGGGTGGACGGATGGGTGAGTGGGTGGACGGACAGACGGACAGACGGACAGAGGGACGGACGGACAGACGGACAGACAGATAGATGGATGGGATGGATGGATGGATGGATGGATGGATGGATGGATGGATGGATGGACGGGTGGGTGAGTGGGTAGATAGATGGATGGACGGACAAACGGACGGACAGACGGACGGATGGATGAGTGGGTGGACGGATGGGTGAGTGGGTGGATGGACGGACGGACAGGCGGACGGACGGACAGATAGATGGATGGATGGATGGACGGACGGACAGATAGATGGATAGATAGATGATAGATAGATAGATAGATAGATAGATAGATAGATAGATAAATAGAGGATGGATAGATAGATAGATAGATAGATAGATAGATAGAGGATGGATAAATAGGTAGGTAGGTAGGTAGGTAGGTAGATAGATAGATAGATAGATAGATAGATAGATAGATAGATAGATAGATAGATAGATAGATAGATGTGTGGGTGGATGGATGGATGGATGGATGGATGAACGGATGGACGACAGATAGATGCCATAATTGAGGGTGGGGGAAGAAAGATTGCATTTTAAAATGAATTTCTACTCTGCTTTTTCTGGCAACCCAAAGCAGCTAACAGGAGCAACTCATTAAAAATATGCAGATGGGATAACAAGAAAAATAAAGCTCAGAAGATAACGCAAGGCTCAGAAGACGGGTGGCTCAGGAAGCCGTTTCTTGGGAGTCGGTGACCCCAAATTGCAAAACGAAAAAAAAAAAATAGTTTCAAAGCTGTCCAACTTTTCAGGTTTTCCTAAAAAAAGAAAAGAAAAAAGAAAAGAAAAGGCAGTTCAGGCTTCACACTGGTGAAGAAAGTGCTTGGCGGAGCCTCTTTTCAGTGCGAGCTTCATAATAAGGGTAAAATTATGGAAAGAGACACTTTTAGTTGATGGAAATCGTTGCTGTTCCTTTGATTTCCTTCTTTTATATATGGGGGACTTTTCACTCTAGAACAGCCTACATCTTTATTCCTGAGTTGGCCTCCTGCAAGCTGTTTTAAAGTCCTGTTTTTCTTTCATTTCATCTGGGATTCCTCCCTCCCTCTATTTCCTTCCCTCCCTTCCTCCTTTCTTCCTCCTTTCCCTCCCTAGCCTTCTTCCTTCTTTCCCTCCCTAGCCTTCTTCCTTCTTTCCCTCCCTCTCCTTCCTTCCTTCCATCTGCTCTTGCTCCTTCCCTCCCTCCTTCCCTCTCCTTCCTTTTCTCCTTCCTTCTTACCTTCCTTCCTCCTTCCTTCCTCCTTTTCCTCCCTCCCACTCTCCTTCCTTCCTTCTTTCCTTTGTTCCTTTGTTCCTTCATTCGTTCCTTCATTCGTTTGTTCCATCTCTTTCTCTAACCTTCCTTCCTTCTCATCTTCCTTCCTTCCTTCCTTCTTTCCTTTGTTCCTTTGTTCCTTCCTTTGTTCCTTCGTTCGTTCGTTCCATCTCTTTCTCTAACCTTCCTTCCTTCTTATCTTCCTTCCTTCCTTCCTTCCTTCCTTCCTTCCTTCCTTCCTTCCTTCCTTCCTTCTTTCCTTTGTTCCTTTGTTCCTTCCTTTGTTCCTTCATTCGTTCATTCCATCTCTTTCTCTAACCTTCCTTCCTTCTCATCTTCCTTCCTTCCTTCCTTCCTTCCTTCCTTCCTTCCTTCCTTCCTTCCTTCTACCACCAGCTGTCTTTCTCCATGTCTTGGCGCGGAAGCAGAATGAGGCAATTGAAACTTCAACTGGTCAGCTTCGCTTCAGTTTGCAAATAATGTTTGCAAATAATTTATCTGGAACCAGGACGACACGCAGAGCCTCACCATATGCCAGAAGAGAGCAGAGACCTTCTGATCCTTGGTCATATGTCAGGGAAGGCTGACAACATCCGTGCTGGGATGAGAGATTAGCAGAAACCAAGGGGGTGCTGGGTTGGCTTGTTGCTGTATTTGTTTGGGAGCAACTTTGCCCCCTGTGAGAAAAAATATTTATCTGAAGCCAGCCTAGCAAAGGAGGCCATCGAAGGATGTCGCTCCCCCCAGGAGAGGAAGGTCTTGATTAGAAGACAACAGTAGTGGCAACCTTCAACCTCCAGGGACATAAGCAGATTTTGTCCTAATCTCATGAGGCCATTATCCCGCTTTTGAAAACTGTCATCCAGAAAGCAGTTTAGCTTTTAGCAGTTTAGGTCATAGCTCACTTCCCTGCTGCCTGCTCGCTCGCGCTCTCTCTCTCTCTCTCTCTCTATCTATCTATCTATCTATCTATCTATCTATCTATCTATCTATCTATCTATCTATATATAGGGGAGGGTACAGTTGTGAAATGTAAAATTTGTTACTACCGGTTCTGCGGGCTTGGCTTGGTGGTGGTGGGGGTAATGTGACTGGGTGGGCCGAAGAGGATGTAGAAAAAAATGCTTTTAAAAGCCGCTGATGATCAGGCAACTCAGTTGGGATCGTCAGAGGCTTTTAAAGGCATTCATCTCCCTCCCTCCCTCCCTCCCTCCCTCTCATTCTCTTCCTCCTCTCCTCTCCTCTTCCTCCCTCCCTCCCTCTCTCTCATTCTCTCCCTCCTCTCCTCTCTTCTCCTCTCCTCTCCACTCCTCTCCTCTCCCTCCCTCCCTCTCATTCTCTCCCTCCTCTCTTCTCTTCTCCTCTCCTCTCCTCTCTCTTCTCTTCTCTTCTCTTCTCTTCATTTCTATTTCTATTTCTATTTCTATTTCTATTTCTATTTCTATTTCTATTTCTATTTCTATTTCTCTTCTCTCCTTTCCTCTCCTCTCCTCTCCTCTCCTCTCCCTCCCTCCCTCCCTCTCATTCTCTCCCTCCTCTCCTCTTCCTCCCTCTCTCTCTCTCATTCTCTCCCTCCTCTCTTCTCCTCTCCTCTCCTCTCCTCTTCTCTCTCTCTCTCTCTCTCTCTCTCTCTCTCTCTCTCTCTCTCTCTCTCTCTCATTCTCTGTGTATGTATCCGAATGAGCCACACATTCACATACATTTAGCTCTGCGTGTCAAAGGCCAAGTGAGTTTATAGCTGAAGCAACATTTCAACACACCCGATGCCGAGGTCCTTTGCCTTGTTATTATCTGAGTTCCACCCATAAGTTACACCACATCTGCCTGATGGGTGACAACTAACAATTAAGTTGTCATCCCGATTAAACTGAGCAGAAGGGAGATTGCCCATTGAAAGAATGGAGCAATGACAGGATTGCAAGTCAGAAGTTTCGAGAATGACTGATGTGCAGGCAAGACAACAAAGCACATTTCAATAGCTTCTCCTGGGGTCAGGTTTTCCGCTTGGGGTTCTGGGACTACAATCCCCAGAATTCCCAACCAACATCGGAAATGAAAAACAGAAGGATTCCACCAGAGTTTTTTTCGCAAGGTTGACCTGGGACTTACAAGAGTCCCCTTCCTGGGCCACAACTGACATTTTTAGTAAATAAATAAAACAAATCATGCATAATTGAAGATCCAGTCAAGTTGCATTAGCGGATCGTGCGATCTCGTCGACTCGAAGCACCGATCTCTTTGTGTTGTTGTGTTCTTTTTTTTGCTTCCGTTCCTCCTCAGGAGTGTAAGCCCAAATTGTGGAGAAGCGTGGTCGTCCAGAAAGAGAATACGCTTTTGATAGAAGATGTGCAGGAGGAAGACAGTGGAAATTACACCTGTGAGCTGAAGTTCGAAGGGAAGCTGATCAGACGCACAACTGAACTCAAAGTTACAGGTAAGGAACCTTCCGGCGTGGAATCGGAAGACAATGCTTACAATGGGGATGGGCCTGAAAATTTGATGGGGTGTCTTTTTCCTCCTTGATTTACTATGTAGATTATGTGCCTCTCTGGCAGCTTTGCGAGGTCAATGAATCTGAGAAACAAAGGCTTTGAAACAAATGTCCAAAGGCATTTGTCAGGATTCCAAGTAATACATCCCATTCAATAAGAACCCCGAGGCAGGCAAATTCCTCAAAGAACATTTTATTGGGACAGTTCAATTTGGCACGTTCCTGGTGGAAAACCGGCTCTAAATTCCCGCCGGTTTTCCACCCAATTAAAAGTAAAACTTTGTCACTTCCGCCCAGAGTCTCCAGTCACACGGTCCAATCCAGGGGTGGATTTCACTTACCTTTACTACTGGTTCGCCCCATGTGTGCGTACTCACTTCACACACACGCGCCAGGGGTGGGTTCTACATACCTTTACTACCTGTTCGAAATGGGGCTGCGCGCGCTTGCTTCGCGCTCTTGCGCAGAAGCATTTTGATGACTTCCAATTGGCCCAAAGTCACCCAGCTGGCTTTCACACTTAAGATGGGACTAGAACTGTCTGTCTCCTGGCGGTTGGCCCAAAGTCACCCAGCTGTCTAAGGCTGGACTAGAACTCACAGTCTCCCAGAGACTGGCTTAAAGTCAGCCAGCTGGCTTTTGTTCTGTCCCCGTCCCACACGCACACACCAACAGACGTCCAAGAGTTAAAAACCAAACCAGCCGACAAAATCTTTATGATAACGGAACTTGGCAGCAACCTAGTGGCTGCCTGCCAAGAGTTTATTACTCACAAAGGGAAGAGATAACTTCTCTCCGCTTCAGGTACATCAAAGTAAAATGTTCAATAATTACAGAGTAACTTAAGTCCAAATATAATCCAGCAAAGCCTATAGCAAAAGTCCGGCAATGCAGAATGGTGTGGAAGCTTTCAGCTTTGTTCGTCACAAGGCTTGACTGGCCACCACGCTCCCTTTTATACCCTGTGGGGTGTGGTCCAGTGACTCAGCCTAATCTCTGGCACGCCTCCTCTTCTGTTGCGTGCGCTTATCTCTCCGATGCTGGCGTGGATCCAGCCAAGACTCATCCCCGTCACTGTCCGACTGTGCCTGCGTGGGGATACCTGGCTCCTGGCCAATCTCTTCTCCGTCGGGAGACACCTGAGGCATTGCCAGAGAGGAGGGTCCTGGAGTGGGAGGCCCGGCCAACTCCTCTCCTTCCCTTTCGGAGCCTTCTTCTTCCGATAAGACGGGCTCGGGGGTCGGAGCCACAACAGCTTTAAACACCTAAGGCAGGACTAGAACTCACCATCTCCTGCTCTCTAGCCTGGCGCCTTAATCACTGGACCAAACTTTTGCTCTCGTCTCTTCATAACATCTCACACATTTCTAATTTGTGAGAGTATGATGAATTCTCCAACCTGTTTCTCCAAGCTATATTGAGCTTGAGCTGTGAACAGACATGATCTTTGCACGCCCTGCTGTTTGTTTTCAAAGATGTGTGAGAAGCTTGTGTGTTTTGGCAACAGGGATCGAGGGGGACTTCACCCCGCTTAAAGATGGCCCTGATTTTTAGAGTTCACATGAATATTTCAAGATGTCAGGCAGGCAAGAATGGGAGGGGAAAGTCTTCTCTGCAAGTTTCTGAGCTTTGCCTGGGGACTTATCATTGTCAGTTCTCACTCTGCGGCAAGGACTCTTCTTCTAAACCAGGCCTGTCAAAGGGAGTGAGGATAATTTGATCTGTTGTTTCTCCAGACTTTAACGGGGTTTTAACCATTTTGTATTATTTTGTATCGGGAGCATGGGATCTGTCGGCTCGGCTGGCCCTAGGGAAGGAAATAATAAACCCCCAAATGAACTGTGGAAAGAATCCTTACGATCTTGTATCCTTGCAATTTATATCGATATTGTTTCCTGATTGTTTATTTGTTCCCTATGACTATCATTAAGTGTTGTACCTTATGATTCTTGATGAATGTATCTTTTCTTTTATGTACACTGAGAGCATATGCACCAAGACAAATTCCTTGTGTGTCCAATAACACCTGGCCAATAAAAAAATATTCTATTCTATTCTATTCTATTCTATTCTATTCTATTCTATTCTATTCTATTCTATTCTATTCTATTCTATTCTATTCCATTCCATTCCATTCCATTCCATTCCATTCCATTCCATTCCATTCCACTCTCGTTTCCTCTCCTATATCTATTCTATTCTATTCTATTCTATTCTATTCTGTTCTATTCTATTCTATTCTATTCTATTCTATTCTATTCTATTCTATTCCATTCCATTCCATTCCATTCCATTCCATTCCATTCCATTCCATTCTATTCTATTCCATTCTATAGATTCTTGACAAATGTATCTTTTCTTTTATGTACACCGAGAGTGTATGCACCAAGACAAATTCCTTGTGTATCCAATCACACTTGGCCAATAAAAAATTCTATTCTATTCTATTCTATTCTATTCTATTCTATTCTAGTCTAGTCTAGTCTAGTCTAGTCTAGTCTAGTCTAGTCTAGTCTAGTCTAAGAAGTGGGGGAGGGGAGACGAGAACAGGGACATGAGCTCTGGTGTCTTATTCTAATATTTTTTCTCTTGCTGATTGTTGACTTATGCCCACTTTGTCCATCATGGTTGGGAAGACAAGATGGCGGCCATGCCCGTGTGATTGGAACCCAGTTCTCCTCCAAGCTTCTTGGATGGAGAAGCGAAACGTTTTTCAAGACAAAAACAAAGATCAAGAAAGTCCAGTTGCCTTTTGGAAAAAGCACCTTTGGGCAGTGGTGAAATTCAATTTTTTTTTACTACCGGTTCTGTGGGTGTGGCTTGGTAGGCATGGTGTGGCTTGGTGGGTGTGGCTTGGTGGGTGTGGCAGGGGAAGGATACTGCAAAATCTCCATTCCCTCCCCACTCCAGGGAAAGGATACTGCAAAATCCCCATTCCCTCCCCACTCCTGGGTGAAGGATATTACAAAATCTCTATTCCCACCCCACGCTGGGGCCAGCCAGAGGTGGAATTTGCCGGTTCTCCAAACTACTCAAAATTTCTGCTACCAGTTCTTCAGAACCTGTCAGAACCTGCTGAATTTCACCCCTGCCTTTGGGTCAACCACGGCCTGAATGATGGAGAATCTCCATAGACAAGGTCAACAGTTGGGGGTAACTGAAGCGGACATCTTAAAAACAACAGACAGAAGACCCAAGCTTAATGTAGCAAATGGTTTCCCCCACCCCCCCCAAAAAGGAGGGTCTCTTTTCTGATGGATTCCATTAGACAACTTGTCTTTAAATTTCAATAGCTCTGTCCAATGAGAAGGTTGGCCATGAAGCCAACTGATCCTATACTCATGGAGATGACAATTCTGTCAAGGAAAGGAAGATGGAGGTTTCCTTCAGAAGGCCTATAAAGACGCAATGAAAAAGGAGCGATATGCTGCAGTCTATGAATTATATATAATCCCAGTTCTCTGTTGCTTTGCTTTACAGCTTCCCAAGTAGAGTGTAATCGCATGCACCATAATTAGAACGGTAAATAATGTTCCCTTTTATCATTTTGTGAGGCATTCCTCCATTGCTTTTCCCCAGAGTCAACTCATTTACTTTACTCCAGTCTTAAATCACTAGATTTACTTGGTTGGCTCGTGAGAGAAATGTGGTCTCTTAAGTTTCTTTCTCTGTAAACATGTTTTTGTATCGATGCTCCTATCTCAAAATTAAGAGGCACCATTGGATGGGCCGGGAGTGACTATTTCAGTTTCTTTATTTTTCCTCTTGTCAGCAGTGCTTTGGCCCCAATTTTTAGCAAATTCTACTTTCACTTGGAAGAATCTGAAAATTAGTTCCAAAATTGGGAGAACGAGTGCCTTGTCATGACATTTTTTAGTCTCTTCCATGCCTCACGGCCATGTTTTTCAATCTTAGCCTCTTTATGAGGTGTGGACTTCAACTCCCAGAATTCCATGCTGACAGGGGAATTCTGGGAATTGAAGTCCACTAAACCTAAAGTCCCAAAAGACCAACCTCCCAATTTTGAGAGGGGCTGTAAATTATACCCCTCACCCTACGTTTGCAAATACACGGTTACAGTGAATCATCATCCGTGTCTTTTAAAAACATTAATGATTTGCGCTTATAATGTCCATTGACTCTGAGCTACTTAGGGGGATGATCAAGATGAAGTATTTATGTCAGCGTAATTAATCAACTCTGTGGATAATTAACTGGAAGAAATTCAAGGGTAAAAGGATTGTTAGTAGTCAATACTTGGAAGTTACCATGGTAGTCTCAAAAGTGCTTTTTCGAAACGCAACTGGACAATGTGGATGACAGCAAACCACTATAGACATCACACAACTGGTATAAAATGTTGTAATAAGATTTGAAGTAGTATAGAATTTGATACAGGTACGTTCTTTTCGCACCTCTATTCTTCTTCTTGTGCCATGTTCGTCATCGGACGTTGGCGATCCTATTTTTATCAACAGCTGCACCAAAAAAAGCTGCTGAGTTTTGTCCAAACCGGTCCCTTAGATTTTGAAGCCATGATGGTCTTCTTCTGCATGGACCTCGTTTGCTTTCCATCTTTCCCTGGAGGATTAAGTGAAGGATGCTGTATTTTTCCGGGTGTCATATCACAGGTCCAAAATATTCTAACTTTCGCTTTTTTATGGTTTTGAGGTGGCTTATCCTCTCTTCCTTTCTGATTTTGTCAACCCAACATCTACGTTACAGCTGCCTGTAAATCCACATTTCAAATGCTTCTGGTCTCATCAAGTGGCTTTCTGTCAGAGACCCAACTCTCCGCTCTGTAGAGCAGGATAGAAAAGATGTAACATCTGACAAGCATCTGATTTTTCAATCTTAGGCTTATGTCGTGACTGCCGAAGACCTTTTTCGTTTTGCACGCCTCTATACTGTCCCAATTTCTAATCCATATCAGCTATTTTGAG